GTTGCTCTCATTCAACTGATAATCGCCATCCAAACAAGTCTGGGAAAACTGTGTGGGTAAGGGTCCCAGCCTTGCTAGCCCCTACAGGTGCAAGGACCTTGCCAGCTTACATCTGGCCCCCAACAATTTAGGACCCCTCAGTGGATGTCTGACTGTTGGCCCTGCAGAGATGGGGCCTACACCAGCAGTCTGACATCCCTCTCGCAATCCAGGACCTCTGGCTCCTAACTGCTCGCCTGCCTGCCTGATCGTCCCTAACACTTGCCTGCCTGCCTAATTGTCCCTAACTGCCTCTGCTTGCTGGCCTGATCACCCCATAACTGGTCTGCTGCCAGCCTGGTCGCCCCATAACTGCTCCCCTGCCAGCCTGGTCGCCACCTAACTGCCCCGCTGCCATCCTGATCGCCCCCCAACTGCCCCCCTGCTGCCCTGGTCACCCCCTGACTGTCCAGAAGGAAGTCGGATGTCCAGAAGATGTCCACTCAACCCGGCCTAATTAGCATGTTATCCTTTTATTAGTATAGATCTTATGAAACTATAAATCAGATATTAATGTTGATTTACTATCTTTATAGACATCTATATGTCTATTTAATAGACATCTACCAGGTGTACTGGTTAATAATGCATATTTTTTCAATAGATGGAGTTACACATATGTTGATATATATGCGATTTGATATTTATGCTATTTTGTTGTATTGACAACAAGCTTCTAAACTTCCTATGTCAAATTTTCTGAAGGTGTTAACATCATAGATATTTTTATGCTAAAAAATGTCAAATTTCATGCCAAAAAAAGAGCATTTGCAGGAAGTTTTAATTTATTACTTTATTTCGAAGAGAAGTGCTGCTGAAGCTTACGAGAAGTTTATGGTGAACATGTTCCATCTCAAGATACTTGTGAACTCTGGTTTAAATGCTTTAAAAGTGATGATTTCTCTGTGAAAGACAAAGAACGTCCAGGTCAACTGAAAAAGTTTGAAGACCAACAATTACAAGCATTATTGGATGAAGATGTGTGTCAAACTCAAAAACAACTTGCAGAAAGATTAAACGTTGCTACCGAAGGGAGGAGGAGGGAAGGGCTTGCCCTGCGCAGGACTAAGTTCTATCAGGGTCCCAGTGGGCAAGAGCAGTAAGGGTTCTTTACTGCTTGTCAGCCAATCAGCTTCCTCAGGAACGCCTGCAGCTGGTCCTCATCCTTGATGCCCAGAAACCAGGTGCAACAGTTAAGAATGCGGATTTTTTTCAACAGATAGAGTTACACATATGTTGATATATATGCGATTTGATATTATGCTATTTTGTTGTAATGCTCCTTCAGATTACCACTTGTTCCGATCAATGGCACACTCACTTTTTGAGCAGCACTTCAAAATGTATGAAGAAGTGGAAAATTGGGTCTCTGAATGGTTTCCCTCAAAACAAGAAAAGTTCTATAGGGATGGTATCCACAAATTACCTGAAAGATGTGGGAGATGTGTAGCTAGTGATGGACTTTACTTTGAATTAAGCACTTTTGATGATTCTCTTGAAATTATGGGTTTTCTTTGATTACAAAATCTGCATTATTAACTGGTACACCTGGTATATGGTTATTAAATTAGTTGTACAGTATTGTTTAAATGCCATTAAATAACTTTTACTCCCCTTCTCCCCCCCATATAGCGTAAAAGAGCAGTGGACCTGAATGTTAAAATCTTGGATTTGAGTAGTACATTTCTTATGGGAGCCAACTTTCCCAACAAGATTGAGAAGCATCTCTTACCAGAACACATTCGCCAGAACTTTGTACTTGCTGGAGATCATGTAATTGTTGATGGTCTACATGCAGAATCACCAGATGACTTGGTATGTGTATTCCATTTTCTTATAGTTCAGATCCCATTTGTGTGCTGCTACTGTCTTAAACCAAGCCCAGATTCAGTGATAATATAATACTACCATTACAAATACTTCAGTGTTGCTAAAATTTTTAACTTTGGGATTATTAATTCCATAAATGGTTTGAATGATGAAAATGGTTTAATTATTCATGTCTTATGAAGAACTCAATTTTAAAGTATGATAAATAATAATGATTTTCTTTTTTAAATCCTCACCTAAGGACATGTTTTTACTGATATTAGAGAGAGAGGAAGGGAAGGAGGGAAGGAAAAGAGGGAGGGAGGAAGAGAGAGAGAGAGAGAGAGAGAGCGAGCGAGAGAGAGAGAACATCCATGTGATAGAGAAATGTCAATCGGTTGCCTCCCACACATGCTCCGATAAGGGATCAAACCCACAACCTAGATATGTGCCCTGACCAAGAGTCGAACCCACATTTTGGTATACAGGACAATGTTCCAACTGACTGGCCACCTAGCTAGGGCTGAACTACAGATTTTTAATGCCTATTAGTCATCACTTCACCTGGTTAAAGGTGCTTTATGGCACATGGGTTACATACGATTTTGTCTCACCATACCCCAACAGAGAACTGTAGTCAAATATGTTGTATCTCATACTAGTTTATGAGTCTCAAAGCTTTACTTACCTTGTGCAAACCATTTTATTTTTATAGCTAGGATCACTTGAAGAATAAAGTGGTGAGAGTTCGCCTATATTATTACTGCATAGGCTATATATTTGTATCATGGTATTTATATTTTTTATCATTTGCTGTTTAAATATAGGTGCGAGAAGCTGCTTATAAAATTTTCCTTTATCCCAATGCTGGTCAATTGAGATGTTTAGAAGAATTGCTCAGGAACAGAGATCTTCTGGCAAAGTTAGTAGGGTATTCTACATATTCACACAGAGCTCTCCAAGGAACAATAGCTAAAAATCCAGGTAAGCCTGTTTATCCAACTTTTAATGACAAAATAGAATTTTTATGGAACTGGACTTCTGACCTTAAAGGTTTTTCTTTGAATTATTTTGAAATATAGTTGACATACCATATTATATTAGTTTCAGGTGTACAACATAGTGGTTCAGTGATCACCATAATAAGGCTAGTAACCATATGTCACCATACATAGTTATGATATTGTGTACTCTATTCCTTATGCTGTATATTATGTCCCCATGACTTATTTTACAACTGGAAGTTTGTGTTTCTTAATTTTCTTTCCCTTTCCCACCCACCTTCCTCTGGCAGCTATCAGTTCTCTGTATCTATGAGTGTATTTCTGTTTTGTTTTGTTGTTCTTTTTTTTAGATTCCACATATAAGTGAAATTACACAGTATTTGTCTTTCTCTATCTGACTTATGTCAGTTATTATAATAATCTCTAGGTTCATCCATGTTGTCTAAAATGGCAAGATTTCATTCTTATTTTTATAGCTTAGTTATATTCCATTTTATGTACCACAACTTTTTTTCTGTCCACTCATCTATTGATGGATATCTAGGTTGCTTCCATGTCTTGCCTATTACAAACAACTAGAAGCCCGGTACACAAAAATTTGTGCACTCGGGGGGTCACTCAGCCCGGCCTGTGCCCTCTCATAGTCTGGGAACCCTCAGGGAATGTCCACCTGTTGGCTTAGGCCTGCTCCTTGTGGGATTGGCCCTAAGCTGCCAGTGAGACGTCCCTCTGGCAGCCCGGGAGCCCTTGGGGGATGTCCACTTGCCAGCGAGGAGCAGGCCTAAACTGCAGTCGGACATCCTTGGCGCTGCTGAGGAGGTGGGAGAGGCTCCCACCACCACCGCTGTACTGGCAGCCGTCAGCCTGGCTTGTGGCTGAGCAGAGCTCCGTCTGTGGGAGTGCACTGACCACCAGGGGCCAGCTAGGGGCTGATGGCTGTTTTCAAGCTCCCTACACCCCCTTCAGCATGGGGGTCCCCACGGGGGTGCCTGGCCAGCCTGTGTGAGGGGCTGATGGCTGTTTGCAGGCTGGCCACAGCCCCCAGCCACCCAAGCTCCCAGTGGAGGCTGGCTGGAAGTAGGTATCAGGGTTTTTATTTATCTTCTATAATTGAAACTTTGTTGCCTTCAGTGGAGGCTACAGTGGGCCATGGCAGGTGCGAAGCTTGGCTTCCTCCATCACCGGGTCAACCAAGCCTCCTGCTTGCTCCAGCTCCCTGGCTGCCAGCCGCCATCTTTGTTGGGTTATTTTGCATATAGTCACTCTGATTGGCTGGTGGGCGTGGCTTGGGCATGGCGGAGGGGTGGTCAGTTTGCATGTTTCTCTTTTATTAGATTAGCTGCTGGTGTGAACATAGGGGTGCATATATCTTGAGTTATGGCTTTTGTTTTTGTCAGATGTATGCACAGAAGCGGAATTGCTGGGTCATATGGTAGTTATATTTTTAGTTTTTTGAGGAATACCCATACTATTTTCTGTAGTGGTTGCACCAGTTTACATTCCCACCACGGTGAATGAGGGTTCCCTTCACACCCTCAACAACACTTGTTATTGGTTGTCTTTTTCATAATAACCATTCTGACTAGTGTGAGGTGATATCTCATTGTGGTTTTAACTTTAATTTCCCTAATGATTACTAATGTTGAGCATCTTTTCATTTATCTGTTTGTTATCTATATGTCTTCAGCCCATTTTTTTTATTGGATTTTTTGTTTTTGTGATGTTGAGGCTTATGAGTTCTTTATATATTTTAGATACTAGAGGCCCGGTGCACAAAATTCGTGCATGGTGGGGATGGGTGGGTGCTCCCTCAGCCGGCCTGCAACGACGCCAGAGTCCCTCGCCCCAGCCCCCAATCTGAGGCTCCTCCCATCCCTCTGCGGCTGGTGCCCCTCCCTAATGATTACTACTCCCTCCACGCAGCCAGTGTGGCCTCCACTCCCCTCCCCTCCCTCCGCACAGCCGGGGTGCGGACGCTGGCCTTGTGTTCCTGGGGTGATTTTGCCTGCGTCCCGCCCTGGCCTCTATGGGCTCCACCATCTTTGTCATAGAGTGATGGTTAATTTATATATTACTCTTTTATTAGATAGGATCAATCCCTTATTGGATATATTGTTTGCAAATACCTTATCTCATTCAGTAAGTTGCTTTTTCATCTTGTTAATGATTTCCTTCACTTTGCAAAACCTTTTTAGTTTGATATAGTCCCATTTGTTTATTTTTGCTTTTGTTGCCTTTGCCTGAGTAGATATATCCAGTAAGTTATGGCTAAGGCCAATGTCAAAGAATTTTCTGCCTATGTTTTCTTCTAGTACGTTTATGGTTTTGGTCTTACATTTAATTCTTTAATCCATTTTCAGTTTATATTTGTATATGGTATAAGAAAATGGTCTACTTTTGGGTTTTGGTTTTTTTTACATGTATTTGTCCAGTTTTCCCAACACACTTACTAAAGAGACTGTCTTACCCTATTATATATCCTTACCCCTTTTGTTGTTGATTATCTGACCATATATAAGTGTGTTTTTACTTTTGGGCTCTGTTCTGTTCCATTGATCTACATGTCTGTTTTTGTGCCAGTACCATACTGTTTCTATTAATATAGCTTTGTGGTTTAGTTTGAAATCAGGGAGTGTAATATCTCTAACGTTCTTTCTCAAGATTTCTTTGGCTACTCAAGGTCTTTTGTGGTTCCATATACATTTTAGGATTATTTGTTCTAGTTCTGTGGAAAGTGCCATAGGTATTCTGATAGGGATTGCATTGAATCTGTAGATTGCTTTGGGTAGTATAGACATTTTAACAATATTAATATCTCTAATCCATGAGTATGGTTTATCCTTCAATTTCTTTCATCAATGTGTCTTAGTTTTTAGAGGAGGGGGTCTTTAATTTTTTTGGATACATTTATTCCTAGGTATTTTTGCAATTGTAAATTGGATTTTAAAATATTTTTTTGTGTAGTTTATTATTTGTCTTTAGAAAACTAATTTTCTATTCTGCAACTTCACTCAATTTATTCACTAGTTCTAATAGTTTTTTTGGAGGTAAACTTTAGAGTTTTCTATGTATAGCATAATATCCTCTGCAAATAGTGACAATTTTACTTTTTTCTTTTCAATTTGGATGTCTTTTATTTCTTTTTCTTCTCTGATTGCTGTGTCTAGGACTTCCAATAGTATGTTGAATAAGAGTGGTGAGAGTGGGAATCCCTGTCTTGTTCCCGGTCCTAGAGAAAAAGCTTTCAGCTTTTTACCGTTGAGTAATGTGTTACCTGTGAATTTGTCTGTGAATATGGCTGTTATTATGTTGAGGTATTTTTTTTCTATACTAACTTTCTTGAGAGTTTTTATCATAAATGGTTGTTAAATTTTGTTGAATACTTTTTCTGTGTGTCTTGAGATGATCTATAATTTTTATTCTTAAATTTATGTGGTGTATCACATTGATTTTCAGGTACCATCCTTGAATTCTGGAACAAATCCCACTTGATCGTGGTGTATAATCTTTTTAATGTATTGTTGAAAATCAGTTTCCTAATGTTTTGTTAATAATTTTTGCATCTATATTCATTGGTGATATTAGTATGTAATTTTTTAATCTTTTTTAAAAATTTTATTGTTGAAAGTATTACATATGTCCCCTTTTTCCTCCCATTGACCCCCACCAGCCTACCCCAGGCTCTCACCTCCCATTATCTGTATTCATGGGCTATGCATATGTATACACAAGTTCTTTGGCTGATCACCTCCCACTCACCCACCCTCCCATGCATTCCTTCCAAGATGTTGCACTCTGTTCCATGTTTCCGTGTCTCTGGATCCACTCCGTTCATCAGTTTATTTTGTTCATTACATGCCACATATGAGTGAGATCATGTGATACTTGCCTTTCTCTACTGGTTTATTTCACTTATTATAGTACTCTCTAGGTCCCTCCTTGCTGTCTCAAAGTGAAAGAGATTGTTCTTTTTCACTACTGCATATATTCTATGGTACCAATGTACCACAGCTTTTTTATCCACTTGTCTACTGATGGGCTGTTCCAGATCTTAGCTATTGTAAATTGTGCTGCTATGAACATAGGGGTGCATGCATTATTTCTGATTGGTGTTTCAGGCTTCATAGGATATATTCCTAGAAGTGGGGTCACTGGGTCAAATGGCAGTTCCATATTTAATTTTTTGAGGGAACTCCATACTGTTTTCCATAATGACTGCACCAGTCTGCATTCTCACCAGCAATGTACTAGGGTTCCCTTTTCTCCACATCCTTGCCAGCCAGCACTTGTCATTTGTTAAATTGTTGATGGCAGCCATTCGAACTGGTGTGAGGTGATTCCTCATTGTTGTTTTAATTTGCATCTCTCTCATGAGCGGTGACTTTGAGCATTTTTTCATATGTCTTTTGGCCTTCTGTATGTCCAATTTGGAGAAGTGTCTGTTTATGTCCTTTGCCCACTTTTTAATTGGATTGTTTGTCTTCCTTTTGTTAAGTTGTATGAATTCCTTATATATTTTAGACATTAACCCTTTATCAGATGCATCATTGCCAAATATGTTCTCCCATACAGTGGGCTCCTCTTTTTTTTTTTTTTTTTTTTCTAGTTTTCTCAGCA